TAACAGGAAGATAATGGGAAAATCCCCAAATACATGGAGATTAAACAACACACTTCTAAATAATGCAAAGATCAAAAAAGAAATCAAGAGAGATTTAAAATGAATTCGAACTAAATCAAAATAAAAACACACTCATCAAAAAGTTGTGGGATGCAGCAAAAGCAGGGTTTAGGGGGAAACTTATAGCTTAGAATGCATTATTAGAAAAGAAAGAGCTAAAATCATGTAAGTAGTGTGTCCTAACCAGTTGCACCACTAGACCTCCAAGAACTTAAATCAATAATCTAAATTTGCACCTTAGAAAAGTAGAAAAAAGAGCCAACTGAATCCAAAGTAAGAAGAAAATAAATAAGAATTAGAGAAATCAATGAAACTAAAAACATGAAATCAACAGAGAAAAATCAAGGAAACCAAAAGCTTGTTCTTTGAAATGACCAATAAAATAATGATCTTCTAACCAGGCTAAAAAAAAAAAGAAAAAAGACACAATTAATATCAGAAATGAAAGAGAGGACCATCACTACAGATCCCATGGACATTAAAAGGATAATGAAGAAACATTATTAACTCTATGTCCAAAAATTTGATAACCTAGATAAAATGGACCAATTCTTTGAAAGGCAATTTGATAAAACTCACACAAGAAAAAATAGACAATCTAAATAGACCTACATCTACTTAAACATTTTGAATCAAAATTAACACCCTTCTGAAACAAAAAGCATCAGGCCCAGATTAGTTCACTGATAAATCCTACCAAACATTTAAGGAAGGTATACCAACTCTCTACAATCTCTCTCAGAGGACAGAAAGAGAGGGAATACTTGCTAACTCACTCTATGAGGCTAGCATCACCCTAAAACCAACACCAGACAAAATTATTAGTAGAAAGACAGTTCCCAGGCCACACAGGTTCAAGTACGTCCACACTGCATCATGCCCATACTGCCCCCCCACACTCATCTAATGATGTACTATATATATCATTAGAGTCTTGCCAAGCTTTTTCCCATCTTCTTACAAATATTCATTTTTTTCCCAAAAAATTCAGGCAAAGAAAAGGAAGAGGATATATGAAGAGAAAGAAGTCTTTTAGTAAGTTGGCTGTCACATCCTAATATGTCAAAGTATTTTTATGGGCTACAGTTATATTTATACAGTTTACGTTTCCACATTAATAAAGGTCAAACTTTAGATCTTTAGAATTCTAGAGTTTGATGATTTAAGATTTTGAGGAACTTCTTTTAGATTTCTGTTCTAAACGAAGGTTCTAGCACAGCACTGTCCAGTGAAATATAATGTGAGCCACAAATATAAAATGCTCTAGTGGTCATGTTAAAAAAATAGGAATTTTGGCCAGGTGTGGTGGCTCACGCCTTTAATCCCAGCACTTTGGGAGGCCAAGGCAGGTAGATGACTTAAGGTCAGGAGTCCAAGCCTAGCATGGCCAGCATGGTGAAGCGCCATCTCTACTAAAAATACAAAAATTAGCTGGGTGTGGTGGCGGGCTCCTGTAATCCCAGCTATTTGGGAGGCTGAGGCAGAATGCTTGAACCCAGAGAGATGGAGGTTGCAGTGAGCCAAGACAGGGCCACTGCACTCCAGCCTAGGTGACAGAGTGACACTCTTATCCAAAAAAAAAAAAAAAAGAATTTTAATGTAGCATTTAACTCAAAATATTATAAATAGTACCATCTTAACACATACTCAATGTTTTAAAAACTAAGATATTTTACACCTTTTTCTGTATTAAGTAAATTTTGAAACTCTGGTGTGTAGTCTACACTTTAAGAACATCTTGATTCAGATAGCCACACTGCAAGCACTCAACAGCACATGTAGCTAATGGCTGTAGTCCTGGACACTGGAGTTGAAGGAGGAGAAACAGAAAAAAGTGTCTCCAGAGCATGTACATCATGGTACAGCATATGGTATTTGGAGAAAAAAATATATTTATAAAAAATAAAAAGATCTATATATATAAACACACATATGCTATGATCCGAATGTTTGTGTCTCTCCAAAATTCATATTGAAACATGAAGCATAATCCCCACTATGGCAATGTTAAGAACTGGGGCCTTTAGAAGGTCATAAGGTGCCGGGCGCGGTGGCTCACGACTGCAATCCCAGCACTTTGGGAGGCCAAGGCAGGCGGATCACGAGGTCAGGAGATCGAGACCATCCTGGCCAACATAGTGAAACCCCGTCTCTACTAAAAAATACAAAAATTAGTTGGGGGTGGTGGCACGTGCCTGTAGTCCCAGCTACTTGGGAGGCTGAGGCAGGAGAACTGCTTGAACCTGGGAGGCGGAGGTTGCAGTGAGCTGAGATTTGTGCCACTGCACTACAGCCTGGTACCTGGCAACAGAGCGAGATTCTGTCTCAACAACAACAACAAAGGTCAAAAGGTGATGAGAGTTCCTCTCTCACAAATGGGATTTATGCCCTTACAAAACAAGCCTGAGGGAGCCTGTCTGCCCCATCAAATGAGAGGCTACAAAGAAGGTGCCATCTATGAGGAATGAGCCTGCACCGGAAACCATATCTGCTGGCGCCTTGATCTTGGACTTCCTTGCCTCCAAAACTGTTAGCAGTAAGTTTCTTTTGTTTATAAATTATCTAGTCTAAGGCATTTTGTAATAGCTGCAAGAATGGACTAAGACAACATACATCCCAAAATGGTTACAAATTTGGGGTTGAGTGAGTTAACGAGAACTTCCACTTTGTACATGATATACTTCCATGTTCTTTGAAATCTTTGATAGCCAACATGTACTTATTACTTATATAATAAAAAAAATACACCATATGTGTGTATGTCCACACATACACACCCATACCCACTTACCCCCATACACACACATCTAATGATATACTCCACACATCATTAGAGTCTTGCCAAGACAATTTCTGCAGAAATTAACCCCTTGGAATGGGTAGCATGCTTTTCTGATCCTAAGTACCTGAAGGATAAAGATGTTTCCAATGTCCTATCTGGAATAGGGGCGGAAAACGCCTTAGAATTGAGTCTGATGACTTTATCATACCAAGTAAATTAATCACAAAAAAGAGTCCTTCCTAGCCACAAACTGCACTGTCAAAGATGCCCCAAAAAAGTATTTCTAGAAAAACCCATCTCTGTGATAAAAAAGATCCTCAGATAAAGTATGTATTCTCAAACTAAAGACACAAAACTTAAAATCAAAACAAAAAAAAGCTGTGACAGGAAAGACACAATCCAAAGGACAGTACATTTCCCAAGTTACCCATCTCACCACAGCCAGGAAGCAGGGAGGGAAGGCAGCATGCAGGCTGTGAAGGCGTGGGGAAACCTGATTGAACTATTTCATTTTCTTTTTGAACTCCAGATTTAATTTGGTGAAAGCTTACTGTGATTAAAAAGGGAAATTTTCCGGCCAGGCGCAGTGGCTCACGCCTGTAATCCCAGCCCTTTGGGAGGCTGAGGTGGGCGGATCACAAGGTCAGAAGATCAAGACAATCCTGGCCAACATGGTGAAACCCTGTCTCTACTAAAACACAAAAAATTAGCTGCGTGTGGTGGCGTGTGCCTATAGTCCCAGCTACTTAGGAGGCTGAGGCAGGAGAATCGCTTGAATCTGGGAGGCAGAGGTTGCAGTGCATCGATATTGCACCACTGCACTCTAGCCTGGGTGACTGAGGAAGACTCCATCTCCAAAAAAAAAAAAAAAAGGTAACTTTTCCTAATCCTAAACACCTGAAATAACTTACTTCACCTAAATCACTGATCACTGCCAAACTGATCCAGGCACATCCAGTGTTCCCAAAGTCTGGCATCTGAAGCAGGACATATTCTGTGGGCTGAGTTTTGCACACATTTAGCATTTTGGCTCTGAGTACCCTTAAGTTTCTATTCATTATGAATATTTTAGGGCAGGCATGGTGGCTCACGCCTGTAATCCCAGCACTTTGAGAGGCCAAGGCAGGCAGATCGCCAGGTCAAGAGGTTGAGACCATCCTGGTCCAACACAGTGAAACCCCATCCCACTAAAACACAAAAATTAGCTGGGTGTGGTGGTGCGTGCCTGTAGTCCCAGATACTTGGGAGGCTGAGTCAGGAGAATTGCCTGAGCTGGGAGGTGGAGGTTGCAGTGAGCTGAGATTGTGCCACTGCACTCCAGCCTGGCACCTGGCGAAAGAGCAAGACTCTGTCTAAAAAAAAAAAAAAGAATATTTTAATGCTATAATAAAGATTTGGAAAAAATCTTTTTAAATAAACCTTTATTCTCACACCAATGGTCCGATCTAAGTTATAAAGGAAGGCTTATTCAAAAGATTCCTGTATTGGCTGGTAATTACAGAAATGAAAGTGTTAGTATGTTCACATGAGAAACATAATGAAAAGAGAGCCTATCTTCTTATATTATCAACTTACAGTATCTACTTATATCCAATACTATGTGATTAGACCAGATAAAAAATAGAGTCTATGGTTGTTTCTATTTTACATTTTACTTAGTATATAACACAGATTTCTGATCAGTCTTTGAATTTAGTTTCTACACATATGCAATAAAAATAGCTTCATGAGAATAAAGCTACCAACCAGAAGAATACATTTTGCTAACATTTCATTACATCTGCCATAAATATTCAAGTTGCTTGTGATAAAGTCAAATATTATACAAACCAAGTAGTTGTTTAATGAGGGCAAAAGTACCTGAAGTTTTCAGTTACTTTAAAAATTAAAAGCTTAACTACCCCCAACTTGAAAAATTGTTTCTCTAATGAAATCTTGTTTCTACGAGGGCTTTTAAGTCACAAACAGGATTGAACCTGAGGCTGAGTATATATAAGGAAGCTAGCTATAATTTTACAATTTTAAGACAGCCAGCTGGATCCACCACAAAAATTTAACTATACTTTTTGAAACAAACAAGGGCTCAAGTGAAGTGCAGTTATTTGATGCTATGCGTATTTAACAAATAGATATGATTTTAAACCTGTAAAAAGTTTACCTGTATACTAGAATCTCCCTTTATACATTTTGCTCCTTCTATTATAGCCATGTATGAGAATCTCAGTTGATCTGGGGTCTGAATAAGACCCATTCGGTATTTTCTCATGTTCAATAACACTTGTTTAATGTTAATATCATCTCCTTTTTCCATCTGCAAGAAAGGCAAAGATGAGTCAAGTCTTTCATTTTTGGAACCCAGGAAACAGAATCAATGCAGGATCATTGTTAAAATTTTTGCTATGCATTTTCTCCTCTGAAAGAACAAGTATAATTTAATCCTGCAGCTGTAATGTTACTTACACAACAACTACCCAAACCTACTCATCCCTCCCCACATCTCAATCCCTCAAGTAGTAGATGGAGGAATTTGATTCTTTAGCTAAGTCACTATTGATTCCAAGTTAATCACTGTAGTATCATTCCTTCTGGCCAGTCATCGGTCAAAGGAAAGATTTATGATTAGTTCTGGCTAGTATAAGGACTTTTTTTTTTTAAGCCATGGCAGAAGTCAACCTTTCTGCTCACTGCCCCTCTGCCTTCTTCATGTCTGCACTACAGACACAATGTCTGGATATACAGCACCCATCTAAAGATGGTGTAAAAGAGGCCAGGCATGATGGCTTACCCCTGGTATTCCCAACACCTTGGGAGGCCAAGGAGGGCAGATCACTTGAGGCCAAGAGTTCGAGACCAGACTAGCCTACGTCTTGAAACCCCATCTCTACTAAAAATACAAAAATCAGCTGGGTGTAGTGGTGCACACCTGTAATTCCAGCTACTTGGGAGTATGAGGCAGGAGAATCATTTGAACCCAGGAGGAGGTGGTTGCAGTAAGCCTGAGATCGTGCCACTGCACTCCAGGCTGGGCAACAGAACGAGATTATCTCAAAAAAATAAAACAAAGAAAGACGGTGGAAAAGAGAATCACTAAAAGCCCAGATCCACAATAACACTGCTGAGCTACAGCACTGCCACTCTGGTCTATTGACCTAGTGTTAGAACCCCTGACATGTAGGCCCACCAAAAAAAAAAGTTGGTGAAGTAATGGTTGGTAGGGAACAGGCATCATTAATAAAATAATCACCAGAGTTTTTAAACTTTAATGCAACAATCTAATTTTGACTGAAGTATACTATATACATACAGAGTGGTAGAGTAATATAGTAGATGTGTTAAGACTCAACCATTCCTAATTCCTAGCTTTCATGAGAGGTACAACATCTGAAATGTTCTACCAACAACATCACTCCATTGATCAAGCTCCTTGTGTATGTGTTTACAATGAATTGCATCATCATATTAATATTAATTCACCTGAGAATCTACTTTGTGCTAGCAGTCATGTTGGAAAGCATAAGAATGCTGATACAACTGCAATGAAGCATAGCTAAGTTTTACAGAGATACAGAAGAGACTACTAGAGGGCCTTAAAATCAAGGTGAAGAACACCAGTCTAGTGTTAAGTGTGGTGGCTCACACCTATAATCCCAGCATACTGGCAGAGTGAGGCAAAGAGGATCACTTGAGCCAGGGATCTGAGACTAGCCTGGTCAACATGGTGAGACCCTGTCTCTACTAAAAATAAAAAAGTAAAAACTAGCTGGATGTGGTAGTGCAGGCAGCTACTTGGGAGGCTGAGGTGGGAAGATCGTTTGAGTCCAGGAGGTTGAGGCTGCAGTAAGCACTCCAGCCTGGGTGACAGAGCAAAACCCTGTCTCTAAACAAAAACAAAATCCCCACCAGCCTGAATACAAGACAAGCTAAATTGCCTAGGTTACTGATAATCTTAGAACATGTTCAGAAAGCAGGAACTAAGCTACAGGGACTACTGAAGGAGTAGATGGCATGGAAATCAAGACTGACAGTATTACTGATGGGTCTGATTCTATCATAAGGAGGAAGAAATAAGACAGAAGTTAGAAGAAGTACAAGGGCAAACAGAAGAAGTTCCATGTATCCGAAGTAAGGAAAAACTAAAGGTCCTAAAAAGAGAAGAAAAGATCTAGACTGTATAAAGGCTGGGACTGGGAATAACTGGTGGAGAAAGAATCAGCCCTTGGGGGCACAGATAGGAACCTCAGGGGAGTAACAGTAATACTGACATTTATGGAATGCTCAGAAAACACTAGGGACTCTTCTAAGTGTTCTAAATGTATTAATTCACTGAATTCTCTCAGCAACCCTGTGAAGTATGTCTGTAATTATCCCTAGTTTTTAAATTAAAGAATGAGAAAGTAGTTGTCTGAGGAAGTAGGAATTCAATATTACATATGAATTTATATTTGAAAAAAATAGGGGGGCGGGGGCGGGACCTATTATTTCTACATTACAAAGCTACCAGGAAGAAAACCATCTTCTTTGGGATCTCTAAAATCATCTTGGATACATTCCCACTGGTCACGAATAAAGGCAGTTGCAAGGGTAGAAATGAGATTTTTAGGTCTTTCCAAAAGAAGTAGAAGTTTAAGTTGAAAAACCTCAGTTCTGGGATACATCAGAGCTTGCTAGTGGAAACTATTTTTTAAAAAATCAATGAGATTATAATGAGAGCATAAGAAGCACTTACCAAAACAAGACAAGTGTCTACCAGAGAGAAGGTGCCAGAGCGCCCAATGCCTGCACTACAGTGGATCACCGCAGGCCCGTGGTCAGGGTTCAAGGAGCCAGATTCTCTCACTTTAAACAAGAAATTGAGAAATGAAGCTGGTGATTCAGGGACTCCAAAATCTGGCCAGGTAGTATAATGAAAGTGAGATATTGTTCTGGTTTCACCACTCTAAAAAGTGAAAATCAAGGGAGGAGAAGTTAGTTCTAATTTTTTTCTTTTAAAAAACTACTTCAGAAAAATCATGTGTTTCATGTAATCCTTTTAAGCCAAAGGGATGTTTATACTATGATTTTTCCATTTGTTTTCTGACAATTCTATATACAAATTAGGGAAGATTTTCTTTAGTGGAAATTTGGGATGTATTAATAAAAGCTGACACATACAACACTTATTATTTTGGAGGCCTGTTCTAAGCACTTTACTTATTAACTCAATCCATAGAATAATCCTATTAAAACCTATTTTTCTGATGAGGAAACTGAAACAAAGGGTAAGTAGTTTGCCCAAGGTCACATAGCTGGAACATGGCACAACCAGGATTTGAAGCAGCCTGGGGCAGCCTTTGGCTTCTCAGATACTAATCTGTACCACACACGTTACCAATATTTTCTTTAGTTCTTGCATGAGTGGGCTATTTTTTTCTATTTTAAAAAATTTCTACCAGTTTTACATCAATGTGTTCCTTTTTATGAATTTCAATGTTTATTTTTTAAATACAATCTCTCATTTACATAGTTTATCTTTTAGATTCTGCTACACAGGCATAGAGGAGCAACTCAATAATTAATCTAAAGAAACAATCTTTATATTTTTTATTGGAATTGTTCCTCTAATTGTTGCCTTTCCCATGGCAATAATTTCAAGTCCTAAAGCTGTTTGTATACCTTTGCTGATGTGCTAAGATGGTTTACCAACATGCTAAATGTTTCCTGTCTCTTAAGCCTGCCTGGCATTCACTGTCGCTTCCTGGATATTCCTGATGATCTAATTTCTAACTCATTATGAAAATGTTCTTTAGCTTTTTGCCAACTGCCTTATGCCCCAAGAAGCACTTCTCTGCTTTATACTCTTGATTTGTGTAAATGAAGCAGTGGTCTTTCACTAACATGCCTTTGCACAATTTTTCAGTTTTATTGTAGGACTTCTTTTTTGAGGGAGGAGGCATAGAAACAATGTAAAAAACCTTGACATGTTTAATAGTTAACAGCTAAAGATTATAATATCCTGCTCCCAATAAAAATTTTCAACATTAGAAGTTAGCTTTCATTTTAAAAATACAAATTCTCCTATTTTGCAGTAGAAATTAAGACTCCTAAGTCCTAGACTTAGTATATAAGGTATAATACTAATAAAATACAGTGAAAATACATTTTTAAAAGTACATACTTTTAGTGACCATTTAACATCCAGCCTTAATAATTTCAAATACATTGTGATTCACAAGTTCTCAACGTACTAAAGACACTAAAAAATTTCTCCATTACAAATTAAAATGAACATGGTTTCCAGATTTCAAGGTATTTCTTTTAAAATTAATTATGCTAAGTGAACAAAGTCAGGCTAAAGGCTATATACTATACTATTCCATTTATATGATATTCTAGAAGGCAGAATCACAGAAACAGAAACCAGATCAGTGGTTGCCAGAGGCTGGGGATAGAGGACAGGACTGACTGTACACAAGCGGCTCAAGAACATCCGGGGTAGAGGAGAGGTGACAGAACCAACCTACATTTCTGTTGTGGGTGGTGGTTACACAACTGAATGCACTGTCAAAAGTCAAACAACTATACACCAAAAGGAGTCAGTCTTATTGTAGGTTAAAAAAAAGGTGAATTAAATTTACTGCATTAAAAAAGGAAATTCAAAACATTCCAAAACATGAAGGGTTAACTGCTTTCACAAAGCGGCAGTTAACCAGGTAATACCGACACAGGAATGGGCTAGAGAGGTGGGTTCTTAACAGTGAGGGGGATACAGTTATCTCAAAGGTTTTTCCTTTAAACGGTTACAATTCCAATGGACGTTCATAACCCACTTTGTTTCTTACTTGCTGTGGCCATAGGAAGGACCAGACTCAGTCTGTGTGAACCTTCATGAGGTCCACTCTGAGCAGGGACCTGCAGTGCTCTGTGGGCTGTGGCCCAGCGCTCCTATGGGGTCCTGCACACAATTACTTCATCATGTCCTGGGTCAAACATATGGTTACCCCACAATCTTAGGCTTGCTTTCTCTTTGCTTGGATGATTTTGACTCAAGACTAGTGGTCTCAATTTTTTTCAAGTTCAGATCATGCTGCCTGGGATACTGGAAGCCAGTTCCTAGAAATGCTCATGACTATCTGTATAATACGGTCTTCCCCACTAACAGATTTTTGAAAATCAGTTTTTTTCCCCCCTATAGAACCAGGACTTTTTTGAGAGGTTAATTTTTAATTAATTTATCCTTATGGAAACAAGATTTAAAAAACACAGCTTTCCAAAAATCACATAATTCATAGTTACAAAGAACCACACGAAGGCATAAGAGTCTTCATTTACTACTGGTACAGAAATGTTTACTACTCTGGTACAGAAATGTTCCTATGCATGGATGGACACCTTTCTTTTTCATGCAGGAAAAAAAAATGAGAGGGGGAAAAAAGTTGCCAAAGGATAGAGAGCTAAAACAAATTCATCTTTATTCCAAACAAGGTCTGCATTTATACTTTACAATATTTGGCAAACTTCTTATTTTCAAAACTGTGGAAGCACCCTTTTCTTCTCCTTGATCACTGAGTCATCACACGAGTTCTCCTCTGGTCCCCAGCTGACCTCCCCACTCTTCTCGCTGCTTCACCCTACTCCCCATATGTACCCAGGTTGCACCCACAATTATAGGCTGTCCCTGTCTGCAGCCATTCCACACATGCTTGCCAAGTTTCCTGTGTAAAACTTTGCATTATGTATACTACATTCTGCACAAAATGTCAGTGGCTTGCTGTTCTTTTCAAGGCAAAATCCCATTTACATTTTTAAAAGAGAATTCTAAATTTAAAGTCTTTGAATAGGGATGTCAAACTTGCACATATGAGGCCAGGAGGATAACCTGTGAGTTGAGCAGATGTAACAACAGGAGTTGTTAGGCCGCAGCAATTTAAGTGTATGCCCTGTTCACAGGCTTCAAATGCATGTTAATAATCATCATAAATACATAATAACATTATACACTTTCTAATTATCATAAAAAATCTATACAGCTCTATGACCCCAGGCCCAATTACTTTCACACTTTAGGTATATATGGAAGGTACCAAGATTCTGTTTCTAAAAGACTTTCACTAAGCCCCAATTTTGTCATCTGTAAACAGGGTTAATAATACTACTTACCTTACAAAACTGTTATAAGGAATAAATGAAACAATTAATGTGAAGTACTTGCCATATCCCTGCACATGGTAAATGCTTAACAGATACTGGCTATTTTTAAAATGACTATACTTACCAATTGTCTTTATTGTGGCCCCTAGAAAGCTCCAGTCAATTGTAAAACTCAACATATTTTCAACCTCTTCATTGGGTATTTCCTCTACACCTAAACAGTGACAAAGTCTGTCAACCCTCTCCCCTAACCGGATGTCAAATCTGTACCTTCACTATCACTGCCTTAGTTGAGTCTCTCATCAATTTTTGCCAGGGTCAATATTTACTGACTGCAATTCATTGTGAAAGACAGACTGAACTCACCAGATCAGGAGGAGTGGCAGAAACAGCTAGGGGCAGGCTTGCATTCCAAGCAGTGAGAAAGCAATATGCAAAGGCACGCCACCTACCGCCACCAAGGAATTAACTTATTAGAGAAGTCTGTCTTTTAGCTTGTACAAATCCTGGGTACCCGAAGGAGGAGGCAGACAAGGAGGTAAGCACCAGGCTGAGCTGAGTCATGGTCTTGTGCACTGGACAGAGACTTTTTTGGTAACCAATGGAAGCCACAGAAGGATTCTTAGAGGGTGGAAAGACTGCCATCTGTGTTTTACAACAATCACTCAGGTATAATGTGCTTAAAAATGTACTCTGTGCAATGGCAAGGGAGTACCAAGGCAGCAGATAATTTTCAACCCCTTAGAAGTTAAAAACCTCATTATGGAGTCAAGATTTATACAGAGTGAAGTATTGAACAAGCCAGTAGAACAGAAAAAGCGTTAAGAAGAATCACAGCTGTTAGGGATGAATGTGTCATAGACATATGTTAGGAGAGACCTAAGTAAGAAGTGGGCCACAGGGGTTACTGAAGGACATGTAGGATATAAATAGGCAGAGAAGAGAAAGGACATTCTAGGTAGAATAAACTGTTTAAACTATTTTGAACCAAATCCCAGCTGAGCATCGTAATAACCAGACTCATCTTGCTAATCTATAGGGACAGGAAAATAGAAGACAGTCAGCATTATAACAGTATTCCTGGAACTCACTAAACATAAAGCTGGCCAACAACATTACGGAAATAGTGAAGGGCAACTAAAAACAAAAAACTGAGAGACAAATAAGTATTCTAGATGACCCTATTTTTCAAAACCCCTCAAAATTATCTCCATAGCTTAAGCCACAGGCCACTTCGAAAGCAGAGATGCAACGTCTTTGTTAAGAAGCAAGAGTTCAAACTTTTAGCTTTAAGTAAGTCACTGTAAAGGGCTCCCAATATGTCAGTTTGCTGCTCCATTAGACTGGAGGAGGTACAGGGCTTGCTGAGATCACAGCTTTACCTCTGGACTTGTTAAGAGACACAAGTTAGACTCCCTTAGAAGCAAACTGGTTCTCTGCACCCCAGGGACCTCAATAAAGACAGAGATCTGCGGGCTGAGGTTGGTTATCAGCCCCTACTTCATCATCACTTTCTCTCACTCCCTTGGTTCCTTTCTTCTCTCTAAACTTACCCTTTTTAACTACCTCCCATTCCTATTGTCCCTTCCAATTCATTACTATTACAAAAAGGAAACTGATAAACTAAAAAAGTAATTGTGGTTCCCGCATTATGTCTTAGATACTGTCATGATACTAACTCGATTTTTAGAGGAATCCTGTGAAGTAGGTATGTTATTATTCTCATTTTACAGATGATAAAATAAGTACTGTTTATCATCTATAGAAAAGTAATGTGACCCGAGTCACTTAACAAGAGTGGCAGAGTCAGGATTTAAACTTATGCTATCTGATTCCAGAGTTTATCTACTTAGGCAAATGTAATTCTACCTTTCATACTGAAATGTTACTTTACCCTTCTAAAGAACAAAGAATCCCTAGTTCTTAGGAAAAATCAGAAGGTAGAACACAAACAAATTCTTGCTATTATATTATGGTATGTTCTAAATAAACCCAGGCCAATAAAAAAAAAAATCCAGGGATCATGTCAGTATACCACACAGTTGCTAGCAACTAAAACACAGTGGCTGGCCAACTTACATGATGACCTCAACTCCAGAAAGATGCTTCAGAATCGATAATCTCTCTTTACAACAATTGGCATCTTTTCAAAATGACTTATCCCCATGTCAAAAGTTAGGAGATGGCCAGGAGTTAGAGAGCGGCCTGGCCAACATAGCAAAACCCTAGCAGTACTAAAAATGCAAAAAAAAAAAAAAAAAAAGCCAGGTGTGGCACTGCACACCTGTAGTCCCAGCTACTTGGGAGGCGGAGACAGGAGAATCACTTGAACCCGGGAGGTGGAGGCTGCAATGAGCCAAGATCATGGCCACTGCACTCCAGCCTGGGCAACAGAATGAGACTCTGTTTTAAAAAATAGAGGGGATCAGGAGAACTAATGAGTTCAGTCTGTCACTTATTAGCTAAGTAATCCATGGAAAAATTCCCATAACTTAATCGATTTAAGATAACTATTCTTTTTTATAATATAAAACATGGGGATAATAAGAATATTTACACTATTCACACTAACTGAAGACTATTGGTCAAATCATATATATATGAAAGCATTTTGTAACCTGATAAAATACAAAAATCATTCTTTTTTATTATTATTTAAGGTGTAATCAATTCCCAGTCAGGACTGTTTCAGAAATAGGGAAATATATCTATGCCCTTCATCTAAATCGATTTTAATGCCATAAGCAAATGAGTAATTACCCAGGCTAAATACCAAGAGATGATTCAGAGAACTGTGAGAACCTTGTGGAAATACAGTTCTGTTTCTGGGAATAAGCAATGAGCTCATTAGCCATGTGTGGCGGCATACACCTGTAGTCCCAGCTACTCAGAAGGCTGAGACAGGAGAATCACTTGAACCCAGGAGGTGGAGGCTGCAATGAGCCAATGCCACTGCACTCCAGCCTGGGCATTCTGTTTCTGGGAATAAACTCAGTCCAGCATCAAAGAGTTATTGATGTACCTCAACGCAGTTTAAGACATGCCAATGGAAACAGTTGGGACAAAATAAACATACTAATGGGAATTTATAAATAAATCTAAGAATTATCATTCCTAATTTTGAGCCTTTTTTTTGGAGACAGAATCTCGCTGTGATGCCCAGGCTGGAGTGCAGTGGCACAACTGCAGCTCACTGCAACCTCCACTTCCCAGGTTCAATCGATTCTCCTGCCTCAGCCTCTCAAGAATCTGAGATTACAGGTGCCCGCCACCACGTCCAGCTAATTTTTTTGCATTTTTAGTAGAGACAGGATTTCACCATGTTGGTCAGGCTGGTCTTGAACCCCTGACCTAGATGATCCACATGCCTCAGCCTCCCAAAGTGCTGGGATTATAGGTGTGAGCCACCGTGTCTGGCAATTTTGAGCCTTTTTAGGTGACTCCAGAGACTGCATAATAAGCTTAGTTATAGATGTCATGGGAAGCTGGACAGAAGGAAAACCAGAACCTAGGCCTTACACACACAGCATGCACCTGCGCTTACTCAAGTGCTTACTCAATGTAGCAAAAAACACAAGTGTTCCAAGGGATCAACCATAAAAGAAACTGCCACACATCTAAAAAGCATGTATATATAACCCTTCTCTTTAAAGGTTTTTTGTGTTGTTAATGATCACTTAATTTACTTAATGGTTAACTAAAACAGTATTTTACTTGTAGACTACATAAATTCCTAAAGTCATATTAGGCTAAACAATTTTCCTATTTTTGAGCTATCATAGTTTCTATTAGCATCAGAATCACTCTTATCTCATATTTTCTAGCTTATTCTAATTATAACTAACACAAAGAAGGCAAAAGAGGTAAATGGGAAAAGAGGGAGCGATGCCTTGATCAACACCTTGGCAACAGCAGGTTCATAATCCATTATGTGTATGTATCTCAACCAAGACTCAAGGAACAGTTCATATGTTTCTGGGAAAGAAAAACGCAAGGCCTGGCATGGTGGCTCATGACTGTAATCTCAACACTTTGAGAGGCCAAGGTACAAGGACTGCTTGAACCCATGAATTTGAAACTAGCCTAGACAATAAGGCAAGACCCCATCTCTACAAAAAAAAATAAGAAAATTAGGTAGGTGTAATGGCTCATGCCTGTAATCCCAGATACTCAGGTGGCTGAAGGGGGAGGACTGCTTAAGGCCAGGAGTTGGAGGCCACAGTGAGAGCTATGATCATGCCACTATACTCCAGCCTGGGTGGCAAAGCAAGACTATCTCAAAAAACCAACTAACCAAACAAACACCCAAGTAAATGTTCTTGAGACCATATGCTACATTTATACATGTATATGTACATGTGTGTGTATATGTGTGTGTGTGTGTATATATGTCACATCATTTTTTCCCAACTCAATAAGGACAAATTTCTGTGTTGTGAATCACTTAACAATAGGTTTTCTAAGTTATTTTCTTGCCTGTCACAAGTCCTGGGAGCTACTGCTTCCTGGGTATCTACTGAGGTCAGGCGCTCTGCATACACATCTTCATTTGACTTTCAGGACAGCCCTGGAGGGGGAGCGTGGTAACCTCCATTTTACAGATCAAGGAAGGGCACAGGGAGAGTGGGGAACAAGTCTAAAGCACACGTCTACTAAGGAGCAGAGCTGGATTTGAATTCAGGTTTGCCAGATTCTAAAGCCCTCTCTATTAATCCCCATGTATTTCTATTAATTAATTTTCAATCCCCAAATATCAACCTCAACTTCAAATTCTTAGTTTCTACTGTTTCTTCAGTCTTCAGAAAGCTACTACATGCAGGCACACAATCTAAAAACAAATGATTATGACTGGATACTACAGGTATTATCCAAATGCATGTGCTTATCAAACTTCAAATCTAGTAATAAATAATTCTTTAAACCATCATATAAAGTCCAGACTTTTGGGCAAGAAAGGTCTTACATTGATATTTTCTAATTGTAGTAGATGTACTGTATAATACGACTTCACATCTTCTGACAAGAGCTTCACACTGAATCCTGTTTCTTTAAACAGCATCTCTTGGTCATCTGTTGGCCAGTACTGTGCACATTTAACCTAAATTTAGAAATATGTATAGGATTTTTTTTTTTAGTTTATAGATACCATGAAACCATAAAGTTAAAAAATGAAAACAAACCACACATGTACATGCTATATTTTTACAAGTACCCAAAACTAATAAGTCACTATTATATTCTATGCTTAACATATTAGTAAGATCGAAATTTTATAGCTGGGTGCAGTGGCCCACACCTGTAACCCTAGTCTTTGGGAGGCTGAGGTAGGTGGATCACATGAGATCAGGAGTTTGAGACCAATCTGACCAACACGGCAAAACCCTGTCTCTACTAAAAATACAAAAATTAGCTGAGTGTGTTGGCAGGCACCTGTAATCCCGGCTACTCAGGAGGCTGAGGCAGAAGAATTACTTGAACTTGGGAGGCAGAGGTTGCAGTGAGCAGAGATCATGCCACTGCACTCCAATCTGGGTGACAGACCAAGACCCATCTCGGGGAAAAGAAAAAAAAAGATTAAAAATTAAAAAAAAAATTTTTTTTTTGAGACAGAGTCTTGCTCTGTCACCCAGGTTGGAGTGCAATTGCATGATCTTGGCTCACTGCAACCTCTGCCTCCCAGGTTCAAGCAATTTTCCTGCCTCAGCCTCCCGAGTAGCTGTGATTACAGGTACCCACCAACACACTCAGCTATTTTTTTGTATTTTTAGAGAGATGGGGTTTCGCCATGTTGGCCAGGCTGGTCTTAAACGCCTGACCTCAAGTGAGCCACCCACCTCAGCCTCCCAAAGTGGTAGGACTACAAGCATGAGCCACCATGTTTGGCCTTATAAAGCATTTTTAAAGTGTTCCTGTAACTTATAAACTAAAAAAGCCACAAATAGATATCGTATTCATTAAATAAAAATTTATCATTTTTAAAGCATGATTACTATGTTTTAACATCATAGGACATTCATTTTATGTTTCTAAAATTATCATACCCTTGCAACAATTTTATCTTCAAAATAAATGTTGCCAAAGACGTTTTATTTTACAAGTATTTGCCATAAATGCCTATGAATCTGCTACTCAATATTCCATCTAGGGCCAGGCACATGTGACTCACGCCTATAATCCTAGCACTTTGGAAGGCTGAGGTGGGTGTATCACTTAAGCCCAGGAGTTCAGCCTGGGCAACATGGTGAAAGTCAGCCAGGGCAACATGATGAAATCTTGTCTCTACGAAAAATGCAAAAAATAGCCGCATACGGTGGCGCACCCCTGTAGTTCCAGCCACTCAGGAGTCTGAAGTGGGAAGACAACCTGAACATGAACAGCCAAGGCTGCACCACTGCCCTCCAGCCTGGATGACAACACTGAGACCCAGTCTCAAAACAAACAAAAAAAATGACATCCAGAAATAACATTATGTATTTGCTTACTAAAATTAAAGTGGGGGAGAGAATGAGAAGATAAGCCCTTTTTACCTAAGTAGCTACATTTGGCAGAACTACTGATAAGAAATTAAAATCTGTGACAATAAACACATCTTCCCAAATGCCAAAGTATGAAGCCAGCAGACTGAAGCAAGGTGAAATAGTCATTTCACTAAGACCAGAAAAAGTTATTTTTTAAAAATGGCCATATCTCTTTTTCCAATTCACAAACAGCTACAAACAATAAAAATTCCTCCAAAACCAGTAACTACTATGAATTAATACTTCAAAAGGTGCTAAAAGACAAATGATATAAGAAGCAAAAGAGTATAAATAAGAATTAGAACAACTCAGAAACAAGGTGACAGAAGATAGAAAAGTTCAAATAATGAGGATTAAACTAGAAGGAAAAGAGGAATAAGTATAATAGATAATAATACCTTAAAAGGAAAAGAAAGATTTTTTTTTTTTTTTAGAGAGAGACAGTCTTGCTCTGTAGCCTAGGTTGGAGTGTAGTGGGGTGACCCTGACTCACTTCAGCCTCAAGCAGTACCCCAGCCCCAGCTGGGACTCCAGGTGCATGCCACCATGCCTGGCTACTTTTTTGTACTTTTTGTAGAGGCAGGGTCTCACTTTGTTGTTGAGGCTAGTTTCGAATTCCTGGGCTCAAGTGATCCTCCTGCCTCAGCCTTCTAAAGTGCTGGGATTATAGGTGGGGGCCTTCAAACTCGGCCAGAAAAAAAAAATTAGGTAAAACAGAAATAGAGAGATGGATGGGCAAGGTGGCTCACGCCTGTAATCTCAGCACTTTGGGTGGCTGAGGTGGGTGGATGACAAGGTCAGGAGATAAGAGACCATCCTGGCTAACACCGTGAAACCCCATCTCCACTAAAAATATAAAAATTAGCCAGGTGTGGTAGCGCACGCCTGTAGTTTTAGCTACTTGGGATGCTGAGGCAGGAAAATCCCCTGAACCTGGGAGGCGGAGGTTGCAGTGAGCCAAGATCACACCACTGCACTCCAGCCTGGGCGACAGAGTGAGACTTGGAAGCAAAAAAAAAAAAAAAAGAGAGAGAGAGATAAACAGGATTAGAGAGAATGTGACAAATAAAATAGGCAAGGAAAATCCAACACATGTCTAATAGGAAGACTCAAAGAACACTAAAGCAAGCAAGGGAGCAGAACAAATACTAAGGATTGTAATTCAACAAATATTTCTTTTAAAAAAAGTATTTAAAAAATAAGAAAAAGGTATTTGAAGTCAAACACTCAAGAAGGCATCATGCACCAGGAAAAAGTGACCCAGAATGACAGATCACTAAGACATATTTTTGGTAAAATCAGAAAAAAAAAAATTATTTGTGTAGTGTAGGTAAAAAGAACAAGAGACTTATAAAGGAAATAAAATAAGATATCCATTAGACTTTGGTGGAATACCAGAAGGAAATGGAAAAATGTTTACGTTGTTCAAAGAATAGCATGTGAGCCAAGGATTTTATATCCTGGCAAACTGACTTTCAGATATTACAACAGCAAATGAACCATCACTGACATGTAAAAAATCAGAGACGCCGGGTATGGTGGCTCACGCCTGTAATCCTAGCACTTTGGGAGGCCAAGGTGGGTGGATCACCTGAAGCTGGGAGTTCAAGACCAGTCTGACCTACATGGTAAAACTCTGTCTCTACCAAAAATACAAAAAAGTAGCCGGGCATGGTGGCACATGCCTGTGATACCAGCTACTTGGGAGGCCGAGGCAGGAGAATTGCTTGAACCCAGGAGGCAAAGGTTGCAGTGAGGGGAGACTGTGCTATTGCACTCCAGCCTGGGCAACAAGAGCAAAACTCTGTCTCAAAAAAAAAGAAAAAAAAAAATCAGAGACTATAATGCCCACAAGTCCCTCCTTAGGATCCACTAAAGAATAAGCTATAATCAGAATGACTGGAGAGACAGCAACAAAGATTGATGATGAACGTTTAATAATACTTGTTTGTAGAACTAAGATTCTACAAGAGATGCAAGGGAGAGACTAGTTTGTAAAGTACAACTTAGAAACACCAGGAAGAGAATGAAAAAATATATCAAAAATTATAAACCATTTTCAGCTGGGCTCAGTGGCTCACACCTGTATCTCAGCACTTTGAGAGGCTGAGGCAAGCAGATCACAAGGTCAGGAGTTCAACACCAGTCTGGCCAAGATGGTGAAACCCCATCTCTACTAAAAATACAAAAAATCAGCGAGGAGTGGTGGCATGTGCCTGTAATCCCAGCTACTCAGGACGCTGAGGTGGAGAATTGCTTAAACTCGGTAGGCGGAGGTTGCAGTGAGCCGAGATCAGGCCACTGCACTCCAGCCTCGGTGAAAGAGTGAGACTCCGTTTCAAAACAAAACAAAACAAACAAACAAAAAACCATTTTCAGTAATTATTTTGGTAGTAGATGATATCATGATTATGGTTATGTTTTGTATGTGATATGGGAAGAAGGAAATGAATCATTATAAGATCGTTTACATTTCTCATATCTTTGAGAAGCAGGATTCTTGGTATGAAAAAGGGAATAGCAGATATAAGATGGAAGGAGCTAGGCAACTGTTATAGTCCCAAATTTAAATTGTAAATATCATTATGAACTCTTCTGGTATGTTATCTTAATATATACATATTGTTCCTTAGTTTTGTCCACTGAAAAGTCCTAAAAACAATGTCCAGTCCAATAGCAATACATATCCTTACTTTTGTTGTGTGAAATACTATTGCCCATTGAAAGAAACCAAAGCTCCTTAGAGAAATGGCTGGTTCCAGGTCTAGGTGGCAAGTTTAAGATGAGTCTGCAATGAGACTGCAATACTCAGTCATTCCACAGAGCAATAATAAAAAAAAATTTTTTTTTTTGAGACAGGATCTCACTCTGTCACCCAGGCTGGAGTGCAGTGGCATGATCACAGATAACTGCAGCCTCAACCACCTGGCCTCAAGCAATCCTCCTGCCTCAGTCTCCCAGGTAGCTGGAACTACAGGGCACATGCCACCATGTCCAACTAATTTTTGTATTTTTTGTAGAGACAGAGTTTCACCAAATTGCCCAGGCTGGTCTCAAACTCCTGGGCTCAAGTGATCTGCCTGACTCGGCTCCCCAAAGTGCTGAGATTACAGGTGTTAGCCACAGCACCCAGCCAAGGAAACTAAGAAAGGTTTGTTAAAAAAGACTTAGGGAGGGGTGAGGTGGCTCACACCTGTAATCCCAGCACTTCGGGAGGCTGAGGTGGGCAGATCACTTGAGGTCAGGAGTTAGAGACCAGCCTGGCCAACACAGTGAAACTGTCTCTACAAAAATACAAAACTTAGCCAGGCATGTGGTGGGTGTTGTAATCCCACTTACTCAGAGGCTGCAGCAGAAGGATCGCTTGAACCCAGGAAGCAGAGGTTGCAGTGAGCTGAAATAATGCCACAGAGCAAGACTGTCTCAAAAAAAAGGATTCAGGACCGAACCTAAATAGATTGCTGTTAGCCAGTGACAGGACAATTTGATCAAAAATAAGAAAAATAACTGCAAAGGAGTGAAATGAATCCAGTATGTTTAAATCCATAATAATTCATCTATTCCTGCCACTCTCCACCAAAAAACTCCTAATCGGTCATCTGTTGAGGAGAGATGACCTCAATAGGGAATAAACACGTTTTGGAAAATTGCTTTTAAGTGGTTCACTAGAATGGGAAGTTTCTTTTTATAGAATAAACATTCCAAAAAAACCGAAGAAGTAATGACAGAATTGAATTATCACCATCTTTAACCCCTAATGAATTAAGGAGCTGAGTACTGACCAATAATGGCTGTTAATGTAATAAAAAGAACAATAATCAGACATTATGGGTCTCTTGATGAATAACACATTACCCACCACCTGTGAAGTAATCATCCCCCAAATAATTAAACCTGACTCTTGTTAACCATCTAGGTCCAACCACCATAAACTTGATTTCTAAATTCTGGTGGCAGTGTTATCTTATTATAATTATACTCCAAAATGGGAAAAATAAAATGTGCAAATCATTTAGTCTGCAATGCTGCTCAAACTGACAATGTCATAAACCTTAACTTTTTTTTTAATGGAGTCTCACTCTATTGCCTAGGTTGGAGTGCAGTGGTTTTGAGATGGATTCTCACTGTTATCTAGGCTGGAGTGCAGTGACAATCTTAGCTCACTGCAACCTCCACCTCCCAGGTTCAAGTAGTTCTCCTGCCTCAGCCTCCCAAGTAGCTGGTATTACACCTGGCTAATTTTTGTATTTTTAGTAGAGATTTCATCATGTTGGCCAGGCTGGTCTGGAACTCCTGACCTCCAGTAATCTGCCTGCCTCAACTTCCCAAAGTGCTGGGATTATAGGTGCAAGTCACCGTGCCCGGCCTAATCCTTAAATGATATTGAAGATCAGGAAAAACCATTGTAAATGACTATGCTGACACTGCTGGAAATTCTGGCATGTCATTGCTATATCCTGATTAGAAGTGGATTAGGAAATTTTCATCATCATTAAAAACCAGCAATTACGAATGCAGAATAAAGTAAGAAATCTGAAGTAGAACAGAACAAGATCTTAAAGCTGGAAGAGACCCTTATAGACAGTACTTCCCAGGCATTCTAAAGATCTAGTTATCACTGCTAGTCAGTATTTATTCCATTATATTTCTGTCTTGGAGATGAGAGAACTGTTATATAAATACTTAAGGGAAAAGGATATATGAGTTTTTCTGGTCATAAACATTTTGACCACCAGCCTTTAGCAACGAAAAGCAGCTTTAGGCCCAATATAACTCCTTAGCAATTAAAGGCCAAAACTAAGAAATACTGGCCTGAAAATGACAATCTTTATATGCTAATGATCACATACAGTATACTAAGTTGTAAATATTAACTATAACTCACCGATTCTTTCTCCACTGTGCGGTTCAGCATGACAACTGCTTTGGTCTTCTGCTGCCAAACCATAAGCCAGAAATGGCAGCATGTGTTAGGAAGTGGACCCTATGAGGAGAGAGGAGAGAGAACAGATGAGGAAAGGAGATAGAGCAAGGCTCCAGGAAGGCCTCATCAAGTCTGCTCCTGGCATGTTACAAGGCAGACAGTGGACGGGCTTATAAGAAGTAAACCAGGACTTCCAATTCACCTGATTTCAAAAACAGGTCTGTGCCAGTTAGGATTTTTGGTTATAAATGATCAAAACTGACTTTTATTTTCTTAGGCAAAAAAGGAATTGTTTAAGATATCAGGTGGCTTTCAGAGTTGAGAACTAGAGAGCCAAGCTTGGGTAGAAACCAAGGCACAGGCAAGGTCCTGCTCCAAAGAAAGTCAACCTGGGACACTGCTCTTGATACTGTCACTAATATCCTCTTGTTTTTGCTGGCACTGCCATATGAAGGTGGCTGTAGTACTGACGTATAATCTATAGGCGAAGCAGAGACAAAAATCACAGTAGGAGTATCTGACTGATCATGTTCTAGCTGCAAAGAAGGTAGACAAAGGAAATTTCTGTTCTCTTCATTTTCTATAGCAAAAAGAGAAGACCTGCCTCCCACACATCATAGAAGACCCATGAGGAAAGAAGTCTGTACCATCAATGGCCAACCAACCAACTCAAGTCAGCTACAGAAAGATTTCTAGAAAAACTAGGAATCATTCAAGTACCTGAACCACAATGAAACCATTAATCTACAAATGTACAGTATGTACGGCCTCAGTGGAAGAATATTGGATAGAGTTTAAAAAGGTCAATAGTCTATGTTACAACAATGCCATGGGGATAAAAGCAAAATATTTACATACTTCCAATTGCCTTCGCTTTTTAATGATAGCATAGGGTAAAAGAAAGGACTAAGCGATGAAAAGTCTATGCACAAATTTTAACTAGTTTTAAATGAGAAGGTTAAAATGAAATTTAGTTTTGCTATACCTAAAATAACTCTGAATATGCATTTAACTTACATGGAATGCGGCAGAGTGGTAACAGGAGCAGAGCCAAGAGTGGGGGCCAGGGCTGCCCAGAGCTTCAGACCCACATGCAACAAGGGGGTTAGGGCGGTTCTAGACCACTTTAAAAAGCATCTTTTTTTGTTGTTTTTTTGAGATGGAGTCTGTCACCTGGGCTAGAGTACAGTGTTGTGATCTCGGCTTTCTGCAACCTCCTCCTCCCAGGTTCAAGCAAGTCTCCTGCCTCAGCCTCCCAAGGAGCTGGGATTATAGGCACCCACCACCACACCTGGCTAACTTTTCTATTTTTAGTAGAGACGGGTTTTATCATGTTGGCCAGGCTAGTCTTGAATTCCTGACCTCAAGTGATCCACCTGCCTCAGCCTCCCAAAGTGCTAGGATTACAGGTGTGAGAACAAGTGTCCAGCCAACTAAAAGCATCTTTAGGCCTGGTGTACTCCCTGATATACAGCAGATACTCAATAAATATTACTTAAATGAATAAACCAGGGTTAAGTTGTAAAAATGCTAAAAGTCTACTGAGGATCCTGACAAACTACAACCTACTATTTGAGAACGGTGTTTTCCTCACTCACCAGATTTTTCTATTACTTGATCTGCTTCCAAAATAAAACATACAGTCTAAAGGTAAAAACAGCAATGAGGAAATCCCCAATAAAATGAATGCCCTTTTCTTTAATCTAAAAAAAAGAAAAAAAAATGGATATAGCAATTTGCCAGTGATGTCACTCCTTGGTATGTACACACAATTACACCCCATGCCATTCCACTGGTGATTCTAAACTAAATAATAAACAGGAACACAACTGTTATAGTATAAAGGACACGGTTTGTTTGTTTTTCCAAGACAGAGTCTCACTCTATCACCCAGGCTGGAATGCAATGGCACGATCTCAGTTCACTGCAATCTCTGCCTCCCAGGTTCAAGCAACTCTCCCTGCCCCAGCCTCCTGAGTAGCTGGGATTACAGGCATGCACCACTATGCCCGGCTAATTTTTGTAGTTTTAGTAGAAATGGGGTTTTACCATGTTGGCCAGGCTGGTCTTGAACTCCTGACCTCAGGTGATCTGCCCACCTCTACCTCTCAAAGTGCTGGAATTACAGGCGTGAGCCACCGTGCCCTGCCACAGGTTTTTATATCAGAGGGACAGAGATTCACATCTCAGCTCTTCCATTTACTAGCAATGCTACCAATTTTCTTCATCTGCAAAATAGACATAATATACCAAGGAGCTGACTTTTAAAAAATACTAATTCATAAAACTAAGAAGAAAAAGATGTTTGAAATAATAATCTACAAAGGACAATCAGAAGAGCTGGGGTAATAAGCATTTCGCATCTCTAGTTTTCTATATCCCCCATTCCAAACAACCTGCCAAGTACAAGGGCAAGAGCTAGACTGAGATGCAAACTTGGCTCTCGATCAGCTTGCAAAGGAGGCAAGGAGAAGTATTTGTATGACTAATGGACACAGTTAAGTACCACAAAATTATGGGTAAATTAAACCACCAGGTCTTAGGGAGCAGGAAAGGCTGGGAAGGAAACTACAGAAGAATCTCAAAAAAGGTCCTAATACAGAGAGGGAATGCAGAAGAATGGGAGGCTGAGGTTGTAGTGAGCTGAGATCGTACCACTGAACTCCAGCCTGGGCAACAAGCATAAGGCAAAGTGCATGAAAATTTAGGGCATATTTGGGAAAAGACAAATAGATCCATGAGGTGGAAGTGGAGGGATGTAGTAGGCAACTACACCACTAGAGTGACAGGGATGGTGGCAAGGGGAGACCTTAAAAAGCTGCTGCAATAGGACAAGTGTAATTGAAGATTGCTCTGAAAAAGGGCAGGGGCAACAGAAGATCAGAAAGAACTTAGCAGATGATGAAGACAGTTTCAATTCCAATGAAAAAAATAGGAAGGCAACTGGCTTGGTAAAAAAGACACAGAATGTGCAGATCTCGAAATCCAGTAAAAATATCCAATAGAGACCTGGAAAATATGTAGAGAAATTCAGGAAAGAAGAAAAATCCAGACAGGCTTCTGAGTTCTTACATTAAATATGCAGGGCTCCTTCAGGACACACACAGCGATAAGAGGTTCAAAAACAATCACTAGGAGGCTGGGCGCGGTGGTTCAAGCCTGTAATCCCAGCACTTTGGGAGGCCAAGGCAGGCGGATCACCTGAGGTCAGGAGTTAGAGACCAGCCTGAGCAACATGGTGAAACCTTGTGTCTACTAAAAAATAGAGAAATTAGCCAGGTGTGGTGGTGAGCACCTGTAATCCCAGCTACTCGGGAGGCTGAGTCAGAAGAATCACTTGAACCTGTGAGGGTGAGGTTGTAGTGAGCTGGGTGACAGAGTGAGACTGCCTCAAAAAAAAAAAAAAAGTTATTTAACTACTCTGGATCTCCTTAGATTCGTCATGTATAAAATAAAGGCAATACTATTTTACCACAGAGGGTTGTCCTATGGTTTAAATTATACAAAGCATGTAAAAAAAAGTCATTCTGATTCAAGTTAGGTTTTCAAAAATCTAAATATTATGGTGTATCTTTTGAATATTTAAAAATCTTCAGGGAGAAATGACTGCATGTTAATTAAGTCTTTATTACGTAATGAATAAACAGTAGCTGTGGATACACAAAAATCTCTCCTATTATCTTAGAATGGAAGGAAAGTCATGGTTATACACGGGTGTGGCTGATAAGCTCAGAGGCAATAGGGCAGAAGGCTTTAGCTCCTTTAGGGAGCACAGGGCCTTACAGCTGGGCCTCTGGAGCACCTAGTCTCAGCACCCACACAGGTCCTCGAAGACGACCAGAAACAGCTAGGGCTTGGCATACTCTCTGAAGATATATGTGAGGCAGGGGGAGGAACAGAAGAGCCGTCCAGGACCTCTGGTTTCCCCACAGGGTATGGGAAGAGAAACAGAAGAAGCTAAGAAGAATTAGCAGAGCTCTGTGTCAGATAAAACATGAGGAACACAATCTGCCCAAATAACTGGCCTAAGCCATTTCATAAGAATTTTCCTTCACAGAACAAATAATATAAAAAATAACTTGGCTTTTACCTTAAATACTCAAAGGTGCAAAACTTTATAATGTCCATAATTTATTACATCGCCAGAAAAAACTGAAATAGCATTTCATTTCCAAAAGAAGTCAAGATATACTTTTACCTATGATTTAAAGCAGAACAACCACAAACACATCATTTTCAGGCATTTGCTTGGTATTGTACTACTTACCTGTGTTAAGATGTAACTCCTTTGTGCCTCTTCTATGTCAATTAAGCTGGCATTAATATAATCATTCTCGGCATTTTGCAGTTTAACACGACTGTGATCATCTGAAAATAGAGAATGATAAACCACAACTGTCATTTCAAACCTACTGTTTTTAAAATCTCTATATTAATTATTCTAGGTATTTATAATAGGATAGAAGAATTAAGAAAAATAAATTAGCATCATAGGAGAGTTCAGACAAATCCTAAATTATTCTATGCTTTTTTTTGTAGGGAGTATAAAATGTAATCTTGTTTGTTACTATAGTGCTGGAAGGGAAGTGCTTCTGTTTGTAACACATTAGCTGTTGTGACTTGAAAAAAATCACATAGTAAACATAGTAAAATGAATAAAGTACTTACCTTCTTAAAAGTAAAAGGATAATTCAGATTCTTGGTACCTAAGAATTCATCAGTCTACCTACAAAATGATAACTAATCTCAAATAGATGAGACTAGATGTCCAATGTAACTATATTTCACCCTATCCATTTCTCAAAAGATATTAATTCTACCATGTTTAAATAAATTTAGCACTGAACTGTGTTTAGGTTAAATGCTGAAAATATTTAAAGACAGCTGGAAGATTCCAACTGTATTCTTTAAAAGACCACTGAAGCTGGGCGCGGTGGCTCAAGCCTGTAATCCCAGCACTTTGGGAGGTCGAGGCAGGTGGATCACGAGGTCAAGAGATCGAGACTATCCTGGTCAACATGGTGAAACCCCGTCAATACTAAAAATACAAAAAATTAGCTGGGCACGGTGGTGCCCGCCTGTAATCCCAGCTACTCACGAGGCTGAGGCAGGAGACTTGCCTGAACCCAGGAGGTGGAGGTTGCGGTGAGCCAAGATTGCGCCATTGAACTCCAGCCTGGGTAACGAGCGAAACTCCGTCTCAAAAAAAAATAAAGGAGAACGATCCAAGATGGCTGATCACTAACATCTCGGGATTGCAGCTCCCAGTGAAAGCGCAGAGAACAAGAGGACGCCACACTTTCAGACAAATTTTTGTCGCTCACGGAGCAGAAGATTCCCAGTGGAGGAGACGCACAGGTCGCCAGCTTGACTCTTGTGGCCAGCACAGCGGTTTTGCAGGCACCTCAGTGCGGCAGCTCTTGGTGCAGAGTAAAGGACACTGGTTCCCCTTCTGACCGACGTTTGGAGCTCCGGGAAGGCAGACTCGCCTTACGGACTCAAGAAGGAAGCCAGACTGGAGATTCCCGGGCAGAAAAGCACCATCAGCCTTAACGCCGCTGTTTTGGCTGGCGCAGTGGGTTGCTCATATTTTGGCCCTGGGAATTAACAATGTGGACGTCCACTCAGAGACCTAATTTGAAAGTTGATAATTACAAAGACGACAAGTGGATAAATTCACAATGATGGGAAGAAACCAGCGTAAAAAGGCTGAGAATACTCAAAATCAGAATGCCTCTCCCTCTAAAGAGGATCACAGTCCCTCAACAACAAGGGAACAAGGCTTGATGGAGAATGAGCGTATCCCATTAACAGAATCAGGCTTCAGAAGTGGGATAATAAGAAACTTCTGTGAGTTAAAAGAACACGTTGTAGCCCAATGTAAAGAAATTAAGAACTTTGAAAAAAGGTATGACAAAATCCCAATGAGAATAGACAACTTAGAGAGGAATATAAGTGAATTAATGGAACTGAAGAATACAATATGGGAACTCCGAGAAGTATGCACAGGTTTAAACACTCGAATTGCTCAAGGAGAAGAAAGGATATCAGAGGTCGAAGTCCAACTTAATGAAATAAAACAAAAAGACAAGAATAGAGAAAAAAAGGATAAAAAGGTATGAGCAAAGTCTCCGAGAAATGTGGGACTGTGTGAAAAGACCAAATTTACGTTTGATAGGTGTACCTGAATGCGATGGAGAGAATGAATCCAAGCTGGAAAATATTCTTCAGGATATTATTCAGGAAAATTTTCCTAACCTAGCAAAGCAGGACAATATTCAACCCCAGGTAATACAGAGAACACCACAAAGATATTCCTCAAGAAGAGCAACCCCAAGGCACATAATCGTTGGATTCACCAGGGTTGAAATGAAGGAGAAAATACTAAGGGCAGCCAGAGAGAAAGGTCAGGTTACCCACAAAGGGAAGCCTATTAGACTTACAGCAGATCTCTCAGCAGAAACTCTGCAAGCCAGAAGAGAGTAGGGGCTGATATTCAACATCCTTAAAGAACAGAACTTTCAGCCTAGAATTTCATATCCAGCCAAACTAAGCTTCACAACTGAAGGAAAAATAAAATCTTTTATGTACAAGCAAGTACTCAGAGATTTTACTACCACCAGGCCTGCTTTACAAGAGCTTCTGAAAGAAGCATTATACATAGAAAGGAACAACCAGTATTAGCCTTTCTAAAAATATACCAAAAAGTAAAGAGCATCAACATAAAGAAGAATTTACATCAACGAATGGATAAAACAGCCAGTTAACATCAAATGGCAGTAATCCTAAATTTAAATCGACTAAATCCGCCAATCAAAAGATACAGCCAAAACCCAAAGGTATGCTACATCCACACCCATTTCACATGCAAGGATACACAAAGACTCAAAACAAAGGGATGGAGAAAGATTTACCAACCAAATGGAGAGCAAAAATAAATAAATAAATAAAAAGCAGGAGTTGCAATTCTCGTATCTGATAAAACAGATTTTAAAGCAACAAAGATATAGTGGTAAAAGGATCAATGCAACAATAAGAGCTAACGATCCTAACACCCAGATACATAGAGACTTAGACTCAATGAGACAGAAAATTAATAAGGATATCCAGGACTCGAACTCAGATCCGGAACAAGTAAACTTAATAAATATTTATAGAGCTCTCCACTTTAAATACACAAAATATACACTCTTGTCAATACCACATCACACCTACTCATAGGTTTAAATGAAATATTGATTGGCCGTTATTAATACCCATTTTTTGTTAAAATAAAGCAACATTTCCGTTCTCTCTCCCTCTTTTTCTTCCTCTCTTTCACTCCTTTTTTTTCTTTCCTTCTCTCAAAAAAAAAAAAAAAAAAAAAAAATCAACTTGTAGACCTCTAGATCCAGGTCAGCAATGTCTCTCTCACTGCCTGATTTCCTTCCTTCCCTTCTCTCCCTCTCTCCCTCCCTCCCACTCTCCCTCCCTTCCTGCCTTCCTCCCTAAAAAAAAAAAAAAAAAAATTTAAAAAATAAATAAAAGACCACTGAAGATACTTCACTACTTAGACTCTGTTAACAGTTCAGATATATTTCTAGTTTTTAAAAGTAAAAATCTCATAGACTGAGAATTTATGCTAATTTGAATGTGAAATACAAAACATGACCTTATACATTTAGATAGGAAAGGAAGAGAAGCATGACACAAGGAGAAAAAGCCCATGCATAACAATAGAATTAACTCAGAATCTTCAACATACAACTGCTGGATGCATATCACTGAATTGTAAATTGAAAACATGGTGTCTGATGTTTAATTCTAGAGAATGCATACTATTACAAAGTCCATCTCAAAGAAATCTATACCAAATAGCCAGTCTCTCCTTACTCTGAAACTAAAAAAAAGTTTATATTATCGCCATATGAAAGAAAATGTTAAATGGTTTTAGTTTCACACATCAGTTTATCTGAGATGTTTCTGCTGGACTGAATCCAAGACCTCTGTAAATATTACATGTCATTTGCCAACAGGAAAACTAAGATCTTGTTATAGTAAAACACATATACTAGTGTTCTCGGAAAGATGATGTCAACAAGCAGTTTTTTTTAAAGTCATTTTTTTTTTAACAATGTCATCACACTTTAACTGTTATATTATGTGAAATAATAAAAAGGTCAGCAACCTAATTAAAATAAGACCACATATCTCCTAGACAACATACCAACAAAATAATGCCTGGTTTTAAAATACTACACAATTTTAAAATTAAAGTTCCACTAAAATATCACACCAAAGGAATGTATTTCCTCATGTTATAATCACAGAACACAAACCAAAGGCTACTCCTATCTATTGCACAACTGAAAACATGCTGTAGGAATCCGTAAAACCCGGGAAGGTCCACCTCACAAGGTGCTGGGAATCTGGTTACCCCACATGGCACTACCCCATATCCTTGCCCAGCTATGGAGGAAGTAAAACTGAAGAAAGACCTTCAGCAGTTTGGCTTTAAGAGTATTTGATACCCCACCCTCAGGACTCTGAACTAAAATTCATTGCTCTTTTTTCTTCAATCTGTAAAACATGCACCAGGTGTTACGTCAATGCTCTATAAGCACAGTAACCACACACCAAAAAGCACAGATCCAGTTCTGGGAGGCAGTGAGGAGGAGGGTGCTGCTAGCTGCAGGGCACTGGGTCTGCAGGGCTCGGCCCCGGACAGTGGCCTTGATTCCTGTCTAACATTAATTTATACAGAGTCAGCGGAAGCAAAGGAACAGTGAATTTTCTCAGGGAGTTTTTTAAATTTTGCTATCAGATAATAAATACTAAAAAAGAAAGGGAATCCTTGGGAAAACTCTATAGCTATTTAGAAGTGGCTATAAATGTTGTTTGAGCCTATATTTTCTTCTCAAGGCTCATTAAAAACAAAACTCAAATACCTACATCACTAGATATTATTTTAATTTTTCTGTTCTATTAAGAATAATACATATGTAGGAAAAATGAAAAACACTTTTAAGAGAAAAAATCTTGAAGCAAAAAGGAGAAATAAAACTTTAATATAAATTAAAAATAGTTATTTTAAAAATTTGAAAAGATTAATACAGAATAAAAAGTATATATAACTTTTTGATTTAGAAGAGACTGTAGAGAAAAAACATAACTAAAACACATCACTTTAAAGTAACGCAAAAGACTGTGAATATACACATTACAGGAAATGAAACTATTAAAGCCTTTTTATGAAACTGTGTGACTTTATAACTTACATTCTTTAATGAAGATAACAAAAAAGGGCACTGCCTATTCTCCAATTAAGAATCACAATACACGGTTTCAAGTTTGTGAGAACATATACAGGTTCCCTTACAACTAAGTCA